TGGCTAAATGAAATACGCACTGTCCCATCCTGTGTGCGCCTTCTTGCGGCAGAGACGAAGGTGGGCTGGGTCTGGTTTCCCAGGATCATAAATGACGCTGCTGGGCCTCTGTCTTTCTTCACATCCTTAACTCTGTCCCTGAGATGAATTCCAACGTGTAGCAAGGCGGACGAGGGAGGCTTTGAGTGTCTCGCAAAAGGCTGCTCGCTAGCAAGGCCCGAGCATGTGTGTAGCAAGGCGGACAACGAGGGAGGCTTTGAGTGTCTCGCAAAAAGGCTGCTCGCTAGCAAGGCCCGAGCATGTGTGGGGCCCACAGCTGTGCAAGTCCCCAGTGCTGTCCCGTGGCCCCCAGCGTGGTGCCAGCACAGCCCGTGGTCTTGCTTTGTGTCTCTCTGGATGGCAATGAGGCTGTCCTGGTGCCATCCTCACATTCCTCCAATGCCCTACTTGGCTGAGCATGGTCCCCCGTATGTGCTTCTGGCCCAACCTGCCAATCTGTCTTGTGAAATCCTCACAGCTGGGCAGTCCGTGGTGGGTTTTGTTCGTGTCCAACTCGTGCAGGTTTTGGCACGGGGTTTATGAATGAATGCCCCTCTCAGGCACACTGGACATGTCTGCCACTCTGTGCTCTGTCCTGGGAAGCCCTCCTCCAGTGAAAGCCTGGGGAACCCTCACTGGTCACTTTGCCATGCAGCCACGGCCTTTCTGCCTGGCCTGAAACTTGGTTCCAGCTTGGAGAATTTAAGCACCTTCTTGTTGTTCTTAGAGTTGTTCATCTAATTTTAGACTGGCATCTGGCACGTTGTGGGGTGGGGGGCGGTACTCAGGAAACGCCTGTGGAAGGAGTGACTTGAGACAGTTCGGTACCATCCATTCTGCCCAGCTTTGAGGGCTTCTGTCCTTCGTCTGGATACAGGAAGTCCTTCCCAACACCAAGATCACACTGGCGCCTTTTTCATGGTTTCATTTTTATCATTTAATTAATCTGCCTAGAATCTTATCAGTGTTATTAGACTGAGGTATATAATGTTTCCTCCCCACAGTCAATTCCCATCACCGTTAACTCATTTTCGCAGGATCTGCCTTTGTCAGACAGAGCAGCGTGCGCTTGGCCTTCTGCTCCACCCTCCCCACCCTCTTTTTATGGCGCCCCCTTTTTGAAAAATATTTGAATTCATTAAAATCTCATGTATAACTTAACAATGAAAAGTGAGGGAAGGAGAGTGGAAGGAACAATGAAAAAAACCATCCAGTCCCTTGTCCCTTGGGTCTGACCTGAAGGAGCCTCTGGTCCTCTGAACCTGCCCCTGCATTACACTGATCTCTCATGGCTGAGCTGTAAAGTAATGGAGCTTCAGACCTCATGATTCTCGGTACCCTTACAATGTTCAGCTCGCCAGATTGGTGATCTTGCTAAAGAGCTTTTGAATGAATAGAACGTTCTAGCCCTTCTTTTATAGTAAGTTCAAACTAGATCCTTTAAAGCCTAGTGAGTTCAGGCCCCTGTTCTTCCACAAAGTTTTCTTAGTCTCTTGTAGTTACTAATCAATTCCAACTCTGAGCCCATCACAAAAAAGGTCATTAGACAATTTCTTATGAACTGCTTTATAGTTTTCTCCCTTGTAGTTATCTTGTAATATCAATACTTTGTGCAACCCTGGTATATCTCTTTAACTGAAAATACACAAGGACCATGTTTCACACTATATTGTAAAGTCTCACAAGGTCCAGTAAATGCCTGGCTGATATGGAAAAGTAACATTATGTTTGACTCTGAGTATGAGATGTTATAATCTCAAGAACTGAATCTGAATAGAGTATGATTTGCAACTTTAGAAAGTAGAGAAAAAATTATAACTTTAAAAAAACTCCAAAACTGACATACTGAGGGGAGGTGAAGAAAAGCCCGAGAAAGAATTGGTCATGACGTAATCTGCAATCTGCTGTAATGCCAGTAATCCAGTTGGGTTGTGGCCTTTTTTCATCTGTTCTTGAATAAGGCATTCCAGGTCCTCCCGAAAGGCCTGTAAAACACAAAAATAACCTCTAAGTACATAGAACTAACTCAGTCAGAGTGACTCAAACTAACTTGCTCTGATAAAAGGAATCTTTTCTCCACCTCTTTTTTGAATAGCTTTTATCTACATTGTTTAGAAACAAATATAAGACTCACACTAATAAAATTAAAACACTAAAAGAAGCAGCTTGCTTTTACAAGAGTAAAAAATCATTAGGCATTCTTAATTTAAAAGAAAATGAGAAATTATAACAGTACCCACAGTAAACACGTATAAATGAAGAACTCTGAAAAATAAGCAACTTGAACACCAAGTGTAAGGCGAAGCAAAGAGACCCACTCCTTGCTTAGCAGCTTTATCATCTCTATCAGGTCAAAGTCCGTATTCAAATGAGGTGCCACTGCTAATGCCAAGTGGCTCACGGTAAAAGTTTTCACTAAGACATACCAAATCATGGTTTCCATTTCATGACTTCCTCAGCTCCATAAACTCTGAAAGCAAACTAATCAACTGAGCTAGGACTAATTACTCCCTTTCTATAACACTATGCTAATGAAATGATACTTTTTTCCAGCGTTGATTCCATATGTTCCCATTATGGACTTCTGTTGTACTTTATTTTGAGGGGATCGGTGGGGAGGTAGCAGAAACAGTGTTATATAAACCAAAACCCTGAACATTAAGAGCATACTAGTAACCTCAAGGTGCTATTATGATTCATCATTTGAGAGTCCTCTCAATCCTTCACATCAGTTGAAATAGTTGGCTTTAGCCTTCCATCACACATAACCAACTTACTAAGTTCATCGTTTATTCTCTCAATCATATCTATTTCAGTTATTTTAAACATGAAGGTTTATGCAATATAAACCACTTAAACCTTGCTCTTTCATTTGAGATTAGTTACATGTATAACCAGATGTCCCTGTGAGAAGTTAAATTTCCACTTTTGGGTCCTCTCTCACCTAAGAGGGAGAAGATAAGAGATTATTTTGAAATCACTGCCTCCAGAAGGACGGGCATGAACACTTTAGAAATCACTAAGAAGTCACCCTTAGAAAATTGAAGCTCTTCTGAGTCACTGACATTAGTCTTCTTCATAAGAGCAGAAACAAGATCTCCTGGACTCCCTGCTCGGAGGTAGCCTTGCTTAGAGGATGGGTTAGTTATCCAGAGGTCCAGGGACTTTCTTTTTCAAAATAATGACATAGAATAGACCATGATGGTGAGTAGAAATATGGTTCTAAGTCTATGAGGTGGTAAATGACAGGACCAGTCCCGACTCTGTATTGCTCTTAGAACAAAAGTTGAGAGACATATGTGGTGAGAACTGAGAGAGCAGGTTCTAGTAGCTGTAATCTGGGAGCTCAACCACAGGGCACCAGGGAATACTCTCATCAAACAACACAGGAAGGGGGCCATCCTTCCCCAATGTACCGGGGGGCCTACATGGTATCTGGGTCCACAGTGGATCTGCAGCTCCTGTCGGGCAGTGCGAAGACTTGTTTTTATCACCACTACCATGTGGTAGTGGCTGCGGTGGGTGGAACAGACATTTGTGATCTCTCTTACATACGCAGACACACGTACATGTTTCACTTGAAAATAGAAGCAACTGAATGATTCGTTTGGACTGTATAAGCCACTGCAGTTCTTGGGATAATTCATGGGAAAGCAGATATTCTAAGAGGAAGAAGCTATGTTTTTTTGCTAATAAGGCAGGTTTTGATGATTAATAAAATACTGTGATAATATTTGAATTCTGAATTCATGGATCAGTTTGCACCAGTTAAATACATACGTGTGTGTGTGTGTGTGTATATATATATATTTATATATGTATATATATATGTATATGTGTATGTATGTGTTTATATATGTATATACATAGACACATATTTTTTCAAATTCAAGGCCTGTTAAGTGTAAATGACTAGTGCAGCTATAAAAATCAAAATAATTGAAATCCACTGACAATATCTAGCTTGTTTAAATGTGATTTAAAGCAGAGAAACTGCCCTACATGCTATCCTTTACAAAGACATAACATTTATCAGAAAGCTCCATTGAGACTAAGACCTGTGAATATAAAATGGCGATGAGGTGTACATAAGACAGATGGATGCCTTCACACAAATGAGTAATAAGAGTATTTTACCATGTTTAAGAATGAAAAAGAGTCTTCCAGATATTCTCACTTATCTTTATATAAGCTACAGAAAACTTGTGAACAGATAGTTATGGGCCAATCTGCCCTGAAACTATTGGTGTCTTTCCTCAAAACTAAACTATTTAAACTTTTCTTCAGTTTGAAGCAGCGATAACTGGGCCAGCCAGTGGCAAAGTGGTTAAGGTGGCTGGCTGACTATGTGGTCTGAGTCCTGAACCCAATGGCTTGAAAAACACACAGAGCATGTGCGCCCAAAATCCAGAGAGGAGAATGGAGAAGAGATTGTACTGTGGTTATCACCCTAAGGTGACTTCTCACTTCTCTCTCTCTTTCCATCTCCAGTGAGTGCATGTACCCTATAGTTAAAAAAAAAAGAAAGACAAAGCACCTATAACTAATATATTTCTTTTGATCTGATATTAAAAAAATACCTATTGGGACCAGCAGTTAGCGTAATGGCTATGTCCCTGGACTCCCATATAGTCAACCACGGTTGGCATCCCAGACCCGGTGGCTTAAAACTCACGTTATGCACGTGTGCATGTGTGCCCAAGATCCCAAGAGAAGAATGGAGGAGAAGGGACTGCAGTGTGGCCATCCCCCCTGGGGGGGTGATTTCTCGCTTTCTGTCTCTCTGTCTCTGTCTGGAGAGTGCACATACCCTATAGCAAAAACCTCTCAAAAAAAACAAAAAAAAAAACCAAACCTATTTTGTGTATTATTTATTACATATATTACAAAAGCTACAAGAAATAGGCATTATCTGTTTTACTGAATGCTCTGTCTCATGTTCTTCCAGAAAGAATTTAAAGCAGTTTCCATAAATTCAAATCACATCGAAATAAACATACATAAGAAAAACAAGCTAAAGAGAAAACAAGCATAGGGAGGGCGAGCAGAGCAAGGAAGGAGGCTAAGACACACGTGGGAGCCATAGAAGTGAGTGCCTTGGCCAGGAAGGGGCTAACTTTTCTTTGAACTCTCTGGTAGCTGACATGAGTCAAGATGACCTGCTCAGTATGATTTATTACGGTTTTAAGATTAAAAGCCAACCAGTTGCTCAAGAGGATAACTATCATTTACTCAGCTGATGAGAAATTCC